ATGCAGTGAAGCTGGAAAAGGTAAAGTTATCTAGGCTGTTTAGTTATCTATCCAATGAGTATTCTGATCTGCATAGTTTTTAAATATTTCCTTGTGTATGAATTCAGATATCTGTTTTGCCAATGTGGACATTGGAAGACTTTAAGGCTGCTATTAAGGAGAGCATCAGCTCAGAGGTATCAGATATTAATTTACAGGTATGAACATTGAAAACTAGGATTTTAAGTTATTCTTTGCTTGCTGTCGCAAATGTTTTTTTTCCCTGTATTTCTTTTTATCTTATTTTGGGGTAATATGTACCTAGATAATGCATTAGTTTCATGCTGTGCTCTTGTACCTGAGCCTATATCTGGGAGAGGCATGTGGAGATCCATATGTCTAGACTCCTTGTTTTGTTCTCCACAAGAAGGTTGGTTTTGTTTTGTGTCTGGACATGCATCTCCTATAAGCACAAAACAACTTGCAATACAGTTGGGAAAATATGTGCTAAGCATGAATGCTTTCTCACTAGCTATCTTATTTATGTTTTTCTTTCTGATGTCTAGTTTACATTGATCAACTTACAGTATCAGATATATTTCTTTTTGGGTCAATCATTTTCCCCTTCTGGAATTGTTTTTGGCAGTGATGACTTGAACCTAGCATGTGACCTTCGAAATCTGCTCAAGTGCTGTGAAAGGATAATGTTACTTTGACATTTTTTCCCTTCCCTTGATTTTGTGTCAATGAATTTCTATTTGTTCTCTTTGATTCAATATTTTAGTGGCTTATCATCTTTTATATGAACAGAACCATGTGTTTGAGAAAAAGTAATACTAAAACAGGGCTTTATCAAGCATGTTATTGAAATTTTGTCTAATAACACTTGAAGGCTGTCCACTTTGGACAGAACTGGTCCGATGAGGCATGAGTGTGGGTTAAATTAGCATCTCTAACCTTCCTGGTGACTCTGTTTTCCAATCAGTTGTAATGCGTTTCTAGCTGAAATTCAAGTTATTTTATTGGTGCTTGTGTCATAGTACGGCCCACCATTTGCCTTTGCGCTTACTAGTCAGTTCTTTGCAGCTTGTTTTCGAGGATCTACTAGAGAGAGCCAAAGAAAAGGAGGAGAAAGAAGCTAAAAAGCGTCAGCGTCTTGCTAAAGACTTCAGTGATTTGCTGAGCACCATTAAGGTATGTGTAATTTTTTATAGGGGGAGTTCATACTTATGTTGTTGTCACATAGCATGTATATGAACTCTTTTAATAGACATTTGGTCTACCATCTCCTAGGAAATAACTGCGACATCTAACTGGGAGGAATCAAAAGAATTGCTTGAAGACAGCTCAGAATATAGGTAAATTTTTCGTCAATTATGTATGAAGTGCAAGCTTGGAAATGTTATTCACTTCAATTTGCTGGACTTCTCATAGTACTTTTTCTAATTAAACTTTTACTAGATCCATTGGAGAGGAGAATTCTTGCAAGGAAATCTTTGAAGAATATATTGCACGCTTGCAGGAGAAGGCAAAGGAAAAGGAACGCAAACGAGAGGAGGAAAAGGTGAAATAATTCTCCTGTAGTACTTGTGTGTCTTATCCATCCAGCAACAGTACTGTGCTATTTAGTTTCATCATTATTTTGTCACCTGAAACAAGATATTGAACTTTGAAGAATTTCGAGCATCATTGTTTTTACAAGTAAATGCGGTCTAGTATTCTAGTTGCATAGATTATATATCTTTGGGCTTTGATATCAATCGGAAAATCATTCAAAATGTTCCTTCACATTTCATCAAATGAATTTTTTCATCCTTCACTTTTAAAATAGTAACTTTAAATCCCTAACAAAATTAAGTCAATAAAATTTGGTATAGGTTTTTGACCACTTGTTACCCTGAATCCATCACGTCACCCAGACATGGTCATTTTTCTGGGGGCGAAATGGGTCTTATTTGTAGTTAACAAATACCCAATTCATATTCATTTTTGCCTCTGAAAAAGTAGGATCTAACCTGAACCATATTCATTTTTTTTGCCAAAAAAGTGGGATCTGACCCAACTTATATTCATTTTTGCTACTAAAAAATTGAGATCTGACTTTCTGGTACATAAAAAATGACTGCATGTGGGTCGTGTGGAGATTTTAGGCTAAAAAGTAGTGAAAATTTTGGAACCAAATTTTGCTAACTTGAATTTGTAAGGGATGTAAAGTTAACATTTTAAAAGTGAAGCACGAAAAACTCATTTGGCAAAGTGTGAGGGATATTTTGAACAATTTTTCCATATTAATCAATTTCCGATTTTTTCTTTTAATCATTTCCCAACCCTTCTTTTTATCATTTTGAATCATCTACATGTTATCTCTTTTTTCTCCTCTTTCCTCATCTACATGCATATCTCTTTATTTTGTCAGAACTATTAATTTCAAGTGCATCGTGTTTCTGTGCAATATTGCAAGTGTACTTTCAAAACATTACATCTTTTCTTTGCAACTTATATTAGGCAACTTCGTTGATGGAGTTGTTTCAATTCTCTCTGCTTAAAATATATGCACAAACGAATCAAAATAAGTTGGAATGTTTGACTGAATGCATTAAATCTAAAATTGGATTTGATACCAGCAAGAAAGTGCCCCTGATGAAATTTGTATACATATCACCAAAAATGGAATGCCTTTTTGTACGGTTTCTAGAGCCACACTTGTGAAAAGATGTTATGTTATATGCATAGTTTTGCTGATGCCTTTTATTAGAAAACATGGTCTGACAATTTGAATGTGCAAGTTAACTGAACCAGCTCTTTCATTGACTGTTTTGGTGTGTCTACCCTGATAACAAATGGCAATGTGCATATTTACTTTTTTTTCCCCTTCGAAAAGTCCTTACTATTTGTTTGTGGCTGATGAGTTTTCCCCAAACATTGTGCCTATGATTGTTAGTTTATGGTGTTACCTTTATCTTGATTGAAGATTTTGCTGGTCAATATTTTAAGGAGCTTTTTCTTTTATGCTAAAAGCTGAGATTGTTACTTTCCTCTTTTCCTTTCATTAATTGTTTTTGACATAGGCTAGAAAAGAGAGAGAAAGAGAAGAAAAAGAGAAGAAGAAGGATAAAGACAGAAGGGAGAAAGAGAAAGAGAAAGAAAAAGACAAAGAGAAAGAGAGAGAAAGGGAACGTGAAAGAGAAAAAGAAAAAGGGAAAGAAAGATCGAAGAAAGACGAAGTAGATACTGCAAATGCAGATGCCATTGATGATCATGGACTCAAAGAAGAGAAGAAAAAGGAAAAAGATGATCATGGACTCAAAGAAGAGAAGAAAAGGGAAAAAGACAGAGACAAGAAACATCGAAAGAGGCACCACAGTGTAACTGATGATGCAAGTTCTGAGAAGGATGAGAAAGAGGAGACTAAGAAGTCTCGTCGGCATAGCAGTGACCGTAAAAAGTCAAGGAAGGTATCTTTTTCTGTTATCCAGGCTATAATTGTTTTAAGCATGTTATGATTATATAGCTTATGGTAGCAACTTCTATCTGTTTTATGGTTTTCTTTTGTTCATTGGCAGCATGGGCATTCACCTGAATCTGATTGTGAAACACGGCATAAAAGACACAGAAAAGATCATAGGGATGGATCTCGTCGAGGTGGTGGGCATGAGGAGCTTGAAGATGGTGAGCTTGGTGAAGATGTGGAAATGGAATAATGTTAGATTAACATAGCAGACCTAGCTGTTTTTTAAGAAAATGGGGCACTATGCTTCTACCTCTATACCCGCTTAAGATGCTGAAAGGACGTCTGTGTTGATCAAGTAATTTAATCAGGCAATTTAGGAGTTAGTGTGTGTTCTTGAAGATCGAGCAGTGTCATGACAGCGTGTGATGTGTATTCTTTGCCAGTTTTACTGTGTATTTTGCTGTTATTTGGTTGACTAGGGCTGCAGACGGAAAAACGGTGTACGGTTTCAAAGTGTGAAACAAAGTCAATTCGTAAAATTTAAAGACGCTTTGTCATTGCAATTAGTTTGATGACAAATCTATTGTGCATTTAATTGAGTAGAAAATTCACATTCTTACTGGGCCTTGTCTTCTCTTGCTTCATTTTTTCCCCCTTCAAGCGAATTATTACTTGTTTTCTTCTAGTTTGTTTGTTTTTTTTTTTTTTTTTGGGGGTTGGGGGTAGAGGGAGGGGGGTGACTGGGCGGTGCTGGGGTTGGATATTTGGTTCCCTACTGTCGCCAGAAATCCATGATCATGGTTCGAAGGCCTTGCATATTAACCACTGTATGGCAAATTCTCCTGAGAATCACTCTTTTTTTTTTTTTTTGGGTAGAACTGCAGGATTGCAGTCTTTTCTGCACTCGGTATAGTAGGATTTCTTGCAAAGGTGAAGAAAAAGAAAATGGGATCTCTTACAAAGGTATGCTTTACTCCATATGGTGGTAGGGCATAGTAGGTAGTTACTTGATTATAATGGTAGGGCTCAATGGTAAGTGGTGGCACAGAGAAGAAAAGACTTTTTTAGCATTTTTTTATTTGAATCGAGTTTGCTTCCTTTTTAATTTTTATGAAGAATTGACAAACTTTTCGAGGCCTAGTGTGTCCTCATGCGGCATGATTTCTTTTAAGCTTCCACGGTGATTTTTCAGGAGTATAATTTTTGAATTCAAATTGCGCCAAATTACCCATCTGCTGTCCGGAAAAAGTTTATACAGAAAGCAGGAAGAAAAATACAACTAAAGGTCAAAAGACATCAGTCCTGCTATGATGGATAGCTAGAATTATTACTGTGGCGGGTCCTAAATAAAAATTAACGCGTGTGGTAGGGACAAAAGCATCCATCCTTCACACAAAAGTTATGAAATGTTTGCCCGTAGTAAATGTAGCTTTTATGATCTTGGCTTCGGAGGATTTGCCCATTTCTTGGCGGTTCAAACATCAATGTCTGCCATAGTTTTGATTAAGCGAGACATTGACCAGAAAATAAATACTTCTAACTTTGTATGCATGCTCTAGAAAATGGTATGTGCGTCAGTTAAATCTTACGTTTTAACAATTGATTTGGTAAAGAGCTTGTGGATAATTTGAACTGCTTTTGACTACAAATGTTCATATCACCACAAAATTCTGAGTACAACCCTTCTGAGATCTACATACGTTCATGAATTCTTTGTCATGTCTGTGATAACCTCATAGCTGATATCCTCTAGCATCGCATCTGCAAGCTGAATACCTATTTCTTGCCTGTGATGCTCAAAATTGCTCCACTCTTGAGCAGAAGATAACAAATCAAGGTGCAGTAGATGGGCGGTATTGGTTTCATGAATTGATTCTTTGCTCCATAACCAAATGTTTTGGCATATGAGCTCCCAGAGCTTCTCATGCCCCATAATTTGTTGAATTTGTTGGCCTTCTGGCTCTGGGTAGTACTTTTTGTGCTTCTCCACCACTTCTCTAACGCAGTCAAACAGAAGTAGTTTTGATTTTTGCACTGCTTTCTTGTTTTTCGCGTATTGAGATGATGCATCAGGCTTGCAAAATTCACCGAAACCAGAACAAAATGGCTTCTCTGATTTACATGCACACACTGAAGTCGAAATTTGCTTGTGGCTTCTAGCATCACCGTCTTCTGTTTTCCAATAGAAAAATATGTACAAAACGTCAGATTTTCAAGAAAAGGTCACTTGTATGTAAACCAAGGTTCGAGTAAAAGGACCAACTTCTACAAAATGGTGAACCATCAGCAGATTGTGTATGTTCTAAAACTGAAACTGGGCTCAGCTGCTTGCCGTCTTCGCCATTTTCCAATCTAAACCTTCGGTCTGCGGTAACCTGTTAGCTTCAAGGACAACCAAACTGAATCAATTAAGTATTTAGAAATTTTATAGTAGCAAGAATGGCTCATCTCATCTGAGTTTTGATATGAAGAATTCAGTGATTATTGAGTCCCAATCTACCTCATTTTCATCTTTAATGGCTTGATAGTAGTCTGGTATTCCCCAAAAGCCATCTTTTCTCCATGCGTAATGTGCATCTTCTCCATCACTCTCTGAGCAAGAGTTGAACATTGTTGCACTGCTGGCGGAGGAAAACTTATCATCATCTGCCATTTCCTGTTTGATGTTGTCTATCTCTGAGACACAAACACCTTCACTTCTGATTCCAGAAATATTGCTGACTTTCTGGTCCTCAGTAACAGTCAGAGTTCTGCTAAATAGAGCTCTCACGATTCTTGAACAATTCGGGATGAATTTTCTGTTTCTCCTTAAACCAGAGCTGACTGACCTTTTCAAACATGTTCCTATACTGCTGGAGCTGTAACCTCTTTCAAGAAGATAAACCTCTAAGATGAAAGGTTCCTGCTGTTCTTGGAGAAAGTCTCCGAGCTGCTTGGACATGATGGAAGACATCATGGGAAGGTAAATGATTTCTTTTGGCTAAAGATTATTGTGTATGCTCTTGTTTAAAGTTGTCTAGTAGAAGCGGTAAGAGAACAGCTGCTGCTTTGGTATTGGATATTTGGATGGGACTATACAAAGCATGTTCAGGAGTGGAAGGTAGCAAGTGATAGGAGAGGAGCAAAGAGAAGATTGGAGACTCAAATAAGGCCGGAGAGTTGAATTTGGGGGATGAGTGAAGATAAATGAAGATACGAAGCTTTGTTTTCCAAGGACGGGAGCATTGAAATGGAGAACATTAATAAAATGTGTTACCTAACCTTTCTGTCATGCAATCTTTGAATCACAAGGTATCTTTGCACTTAAAGCTGTATAGCCTAGAGATCGTTGGTTCTATCTATCTTTCTCTTCCAACAGACATGCTGCCCACACATGTACTCGAGAAAATTACAGATTAAAAAGTATTTGGTAGATTTTGTGAGATGGTCCCGAAAGTTTTTGTCCTTTTGGAGTTTGCCACGACAAACACTACAGTATCATTGCTTGAGGGCAGAAGCATGGAAGACAGAGAGCTTCTAGACTCGTTGAACTACCAAGAAAAACCTCACACCCAAACTGCTCCCCCAAAACGCCACCAACGAAAGGGAAAATTCTTTTGGGTGGTTAATGATGGGAAAAATTGTTAAAATGATCCTCAAATGTTCAAGGAACGGTTTTATCATGTTTAAAGATGATATATAGTTTTCTGGGCACCAATTGGATCTTCGAGTGTTGCACCAAATCACATGGTCAACTATCTTTCCAACACCATATGTCATATCCACCCCACACAGAATTAATCTAGGAGGTAAAATAGGTTCCCTGAGCATTTAACCCTTCTCACTGTGACAACATGACAATTGGGCCAAAAAAATGAGAAAAATAATTGCATAAAAAGATCCTCCATGTTGGAAAAAAAGCTAGGTTTACTTTTCCATACAGTAGTTGAACACAAATAAAGATCTTTTCCCCAATTCTTGCCTCTCAGCTATCTGCAAGTGACCTAAGCATGAGATTTGGTACATGAAGGATGAGAGAGATGGGATTTCGAATAAGGATTTTTCAAACAATTATCTACCAAATACTCATTAAGTACACATAATTTACACTAAACTTATCATATGGATGTACACAACTCATGTATTTAGATACTTTTCAAATTGATAATACTCTTGTTAAAAAACTAACATCTGAGATCCCTCTTAACCAATATTTATTAGGCACATGCTAACCAAACATTTCTAACAAAAATGATATGATAATTTGAAAATGTATTGCAAACCAAAATGCTTCGCTTTAAATATAAAGGCCTAATATATATATATATATATATTAACATGGGAAGGAGAATGATAGGATTTTAAGATGAGGGGAAGGGATGAGAGGATTAGAATTTAAAATTTCTAATTCTTGAGATCTCAACTTTAATGACTGAACTAATGTCTCGTCGGCACGTAGTTTATGAACATTGGAACCACACAAAAAAAAAAAAACCGGGTTTACGAGGACAGAAGTGCAGAAGTACCATGCAAATTAGCTAACCTGCTTTAATTTACAATTATTACAAGAAAGGGGAAGCAGACGAGAAGATTTCCCATAAGAGTAAAATCTCGTATCCACGAGTTTCATTCATACGCTACTTGTGCACCTAAATGGAAAACGATCTATTTGCTAAACTGAAGTCTATTAATGGTCTAAAGAGCTTCATCACATTTGTCACTTTTTTTTTTTTAAAAAAAAATAAATCTAGAATTTATTGTTTTCTTAAAAATTTTTAGCACTTGTATCAAGTCAAATCAACATACTTTTCTGATCTATTGTTATATTTTAGGTACAGTGCCATGATTAACATTAAACAAATTCGGTTAATGTCACAGTTCCTAGTCCCTTTTCTTTTGCCTAGTTTTGTTCTCATTAAACCAGCTTGGAAGTGGTACCACTTACCCATTTCAAGACATTTAATCACAAGTTTGAGCAAGCAGGGGATCAAATGCAAATCGATCAAGTTCACCCATTTTGGCAACGTATTTGCAGTTTTTGTCTATATATTTTCTTTCAATGCAAGAGGGTTTTCTCTTATAGAAAAAGAGATAATTATAGTTAACTATTCCGAAATGGTTATAAATGGTAACTAATTTAGTTCAATTTTTTTTTGGGGGAAACTAATTTGGTTCATGTTCATCAAGAATTATTCCCAACAGGATTGTTGAAGGGGTTGACCACCACACTTTTTTTTGTCTCTTGGGTGTTTGAAGTAAATATGCATGTGCTTCGACCTCAAACTTCGCTTTCGTGTCCCCCTTATCTTCGACTTAAATTGCTTCTGATTTTAGGTGACAAGATTTGATGATATAAACAATGGAAATCAACTCCTCATGATATAAACAAGGGGTTAATGGTCCTAATAAACAAATTTTTTTTTTTTTGGCAAAGTTTCTATCAATGTTTATTGCTGCAGGGCGCTAATTTGTTTGTTTGGTGAAATACATGTCGAGAACAAATGGCAAAGAAGACATGTGAGAGCGGCAGTTTTAGTTTTGACTTTAGACAATGTCAAGCACATTTCTTAGAAGATACTAATTAATAGCATCTAATCAATCATTAGTGATGACAAACACCTAGCAATTCTTTTGAATTGCAAAAGGAAAAAAAAAAGAAAAAAGAAAGCTCACTTTTGGTCGTAAATTTAAGGACACAAAACGCCTACACACACATAGATAAAAAGGAAAAGAATATATTTAGTCATTAATTATGTTTTGGGTTATTATCACTCTACCCTCTTAATGTTCGATGCCACCATTAATTTCCTCCATAACGTTATCTTTTAATCTCTTTACCCTCAAAACTAACGATCAAGTTTAACGAAGTTTGTTAATTAAAATGAAAAGGCATGTTTAGTTCTTAAAATTATTATCACTTTACTCCTATAAACTATAGTCTTATTATCAATTTACCATTTAGAGTTATTTTTTAGACAATTTATCCCACCATTAAACCAACTTAACAGGTTAAAAAAACTTTAGAAGAAAGTACCATCCTCTTTGTATAATAAAAATAATAAAAAATTTAGACTGGCTCTTTTCCTTTTTAGTATCAAGAAAAAAAATCAAAGTATTAATCTCTTTCTTCTTGACAATCTTATTAATATTGAAAAAAATAGAGAGAGAGAGAGAGCTCAATTCATTTATAAAAAAATACAAATAAAAAAGAATTAAATACTTTTATTATTTTAAAATTATTTTACTTTTTTGTTTACTATCAAATTCCAATTCTAATCTCGACAATCTTAAAGTAATACGATAATGTTAGACTCTTCTTTACTATTATTATTTTTTTTACCAAAATCTAATTTTCTATCTCCTTCTTTCCTATCTCTTTTTCTTATCCTAATATTAATAAGTGTGAAAAAAAAATTTGAGAAAAACTTGTTTATTTCTATGTTTTTGGATCTCTTAAAGTGAAAAAAAGGAAGAATAACCATTTCAATTTTTTATTTTTAATTATATATAAAAAGGGTAAATATATTTAAAATTTTTTTATCATACTAGTTAGATTAACGATGAGGTAAAATGCCTAGAAAATAATATTAATAATTAAAGCGATTGTATCACTATAATTTAAAAAGATAATAATAATGTAGTAATGCTATAGAGTAAAAGAGTATTTTTGTCCAAAATTTATTAACATGTTGAGTTGAATTACTTATAGAGGTGAAGTGATTAAAAAATAACGTTAAAGGGTAAACTGATAGTAAGAATGTAATTTAAAGGGGTAAAGTGATAATAACCCTTTGTTTTTTGTCTTCATTGCGAGGGTGCGTAGAATGTCGCAGATAAAGTTCATCTTGCTTGGGGACAGACAGTTGCATTGATTCATAATGAGATTCAGTTTTACTTTATGAGAATCAGTTTTTGTGTGGTCTCCATCAACCATGTTGAAATTTATCTTTGCAGCTGTAGAAAAGTCTAATTCATCATAAAGAAGTAGAAAATTAAAAACAAAAATAAAACAGCAATAGAATACTCTGAATCCAATGGCCATTTTGTTCACCTGTAACAAACATGACAAGTCTTGTCAAATGGAGGATGGGACTTTAAACGCAACTAATATCTTAATTTTACTTTCTTCCAATCTTCTATAGAGAAAACCTTTTTTGAAAAAAAAAAAAAATACAAAAACAAGACTGTCTAGTTATCTATATATGGTCCCTGTATACATAAATATTTGGCAGCAGAAGGCATGCGTCAGTTCTGTTATGATCCATACATCTTGGAAGATTAAACTTAATCCATGAAAATGTTTTAAGATGAAATATATACATATATATATATATATATATTTTGGCCAATGCAAATGACTGTTGAACCTTGTTTGTGTATGAGGTTGCCAACCTGACACGTACATATAAATATATATATATATATATATATATCGGTATTGTCTGTTACCAGTATTGTCTCTGCTAATGGCGTAGCCTGTTTTGTGAAAAAATGCATGCATGTTGAGATTGAGAGCGATATGCCATGTTACAGACAAATTAATAAATGCAGTTTGATTCATCCATCCATTTTACCAACTATAGATGCCTTCAGACCAGAGAAGGTTGAAACTCAAAAAGAAAAAAACAATTATATTAGTTCCATTCAGACCGCATTTTGTCAACATGTTCAGCTGGACCCAAAAAAAAAAATGTATATTAACAAGTTAGAACATTCTCTGAGCCAAAAAATACAAGACGCCTGTGAGTAAGCAATCTTATTATGGGCACAGCAGCTGATTTTGTCGTCACATAAGATGAGACACAACAGTCTAATGGTCAATTTGTACGTAAATTTTGTACAGAGGAAGATGATTGATGTTTTTATGTGCAGGTGTTATCACTACTGTGTTTGTTTTCGTTTCTGTCTCTCTCTCTCTGTACATTACATTAGGAGGGGGGGGGGGGGGACCTGTGAGGATCCAAAGCCGTGTGATTAGACACCATAAGGGCCAAGTTCATATACTTGGCTTGACCATTGCCTAAGGTCCGTCCCGAGAATGGATTCTAGAGGAGAATGGACACCAATGATCTAACAGCAAACTTTACATTATTGTAGTTTTTGCAGGGTTTTTGAAGCTGCAGCGTTGTCGGTAGAAACAGGTGAAAGAACTTAAAATATAAAATTAAACCTCAGTGTTTTCCATCATACCTGTTTCCTTGTCAACGAGTAGAGACAAAAGAGGAGAAAGTCCAACTCTAACATTAGAGACAAAAGGGGTCGCTCGCTTTTCATAAATCTGAAACTTCAACAGATAGTCTGAACGATTCGAGAGAAGCAAAGGAAATCTATAGAGGACAAATCAGGACCAAACTCGTTAAAACAGAAGGAGCTATTTAATTTGT